GTGTCTTTGTTGAGTTTCTTTCCAGTTGTTTTATCTTTGATGGAAAGTGGTGTATTAAAGTTTCCTGCTATGACTGTGGAGTTATCTATTTGTATTTTCAATTCTGTTAAAGTCTGATTTATGTATTTTGGGGCTCTTTCATTGTGTGCATAGACATATATTATAATTATGTCCTCATGTTCAATTGATCCTTTAATCATTATATAACGTCCTTCCTTATCTTGTATGATAGTTTTTGTCTTGAAGTCAGTTTTTATCAGAAATTAATATTGTCACTCCTATTTTTTTTTTAATTGCCATTTGCTTGATACATCTTTTTCCAACCTTTGATTTTTAATCTCTTTTTGCTTTTGTCTCTAAGGTGTGTCTCTAGTAGACAGCATAATAATGGGTTATGTTTTCTTATCCACTCTGCAGCTTTTCATCTCAAATGGTGCATTAAATCCATTGACATTCAGTGTAATTATCGACAAGTATGAATTTGTTGTTGTTATTTTTTTACGTTTTTTTTGTGGTGTTGCTGATTTCTTTGTTCCATAAAATTTTCTGTGCTGATCTCATTTTGTTTATGAATTGTGTTACCACTTCCTTTGTTGCTGTTGTTTTAGTATTTGCTAAATATTTGTGCTTGTCCTCTTTTTATTGCAATGTGAAGGTTTATCATTTTTCTTTGGGGTTACCCTGTGATTTATAACTTTCTTGCCAAGTTTACTTTGGATACTTCCATTACTGAGTTGATTTCTGGGGTATGTCATCTTGTGTGTTAACGGTTGGTTTTTGTTTGCTGTTGTTGATTCTCTGTCCAAAAGACTCCTTTTAGCATCGCTGGTAAAGTTGGTCTTGTTTTAACAAATTCCCTTAATTTCTGTTTATCTGGAAATGTCCTAATTTCACTATCCTATTTGAGGGACAATTTTGCTGGGTATATAAATCTTGGTTGAAATTTTTCTCTTTCAGGTTTTATATATACTATCCCATTGTGCTCTCCCTTACATGGTTTCTGCCAGGAAATGAGAGCTTAGTCTTACTGATTGCCCTTTGTATGTAACTTTTTGTTTTCCCTATATGGCTTTTAGGATTCTTTGTCTTTGGTTTTGAAGAGTTTGATGATGATATGTCTTAGTGATTTTCTTTTGGGGTCCATCTTGTTTGAAGTTTGTTGGACTTCTTGAATGGATATATTCTCGTCTTTCATCCTATCAGGGAAATTCTCTCCCAACAAATCTTCGACACTTTTCTCTGTGGTTTTATTTGTCTCTTCCTGTTCTGGAATTCCGATTACTCGTACATTATTAGTTTTGACTGTATCCCACCTGAACCTTAGGCTTTCTTCATTTTGTTTTGATCTTTTTTCTCACCCTCTTTTCCTGAGTTATTCCTCTTTCATTAATATAAACTCACTGCCCCCTAAGATTCATATCTAGTCTTTCAAATTCTTGTTGTCAATTTGATCTCATATAGATCTTAAAAGAGCATAATGCTTAAGGCAGATTTTTTTTTTTTTTTTTTTTTTTTTTAGAAGAGAAACTATTGTTTGGTTTAATGTAGACTTCAGGGCATATTTTTGGTTTAAAGATAATTTCAGAGCAGTAATTTCAGGGGTTTCTCCATCTACCCTCCATAGCTCCAGAAAGTCTAGAGTCCATAGAAATTTGAAATTCTGTTCTGTGTGTTTCCCCTCTCAATCAAGATTCTTCTGTGGAATCTTTGATCAAAATTCTTGGTAATAGTAGCCAGGCATCATCCAGTTCTTCTGGTGTCATGGCATAGGAGCCAGTTGTTCATGGACGCAATTAGCCACACATTCTTTATTCTTCTTCTATTCCTGACTCTGTTTCTTCCTCTGTTGTTCCAGGTGAATAGAGGCTAATAGAGACCAGTTGTGCCTTGGATGGTAGCTTGCAATCTTTTAAGACCCCAGGCGCTATCCATTGAACTAATATGTAGAACAGAAGCACTAACCACTTTAGGCTAATTAACTGGAATACCTGATGAAGCCACAACCCTAAGTCCCTTAAAATCAAGGAACCAAATCCCGTGAGGTGTTCCTTATACAATAAGTGGATATATCTATCACACATCTTTTGCCAATTCAATTTTTTACAATTGTACAACTTATTGACAGCAATTACAATAATCTGCTGTGCAAACGTTCCCTTAATATGATTTTTCCATCATTGTTAACCCCTCTTTTACCCTTCCTTCTTGCCCTTGGTAACTATTAATAAATTTTGGTCTCTGTACATTACCTTTTTTTTTTTTTTTTTTTTGGCTTTTATGTAAGTGAGATCATATAATATTTATCCCTTTGTGACTGGCTTATTTCCCTTAGAATAATGTCTTCAAACTCCATCCTACTGTAGCGTTTATCAAGAGTTCATTTATCTTACTATGTGAGTAGTATTCCATTGTATATATGAACCACATTTTATTTATCCATTCATCCATTTATAGGCATTTAGGTGTTTCCGCCTTTTGGCTGTTGTGAATAGTGCTGCAGTGAACATTGGTATACAAGTCTCTTCTTGAGTCTCTGCTTCAAGTCTTCGGAGTATATACCTAGGAGTGGAATTGCTAGGTCACATAGTAGCTCTATTTTTATTTTTTTGAGAAATTGCCACATGTTTTTGCCAGCAGCTATGCCATTTTGCATTCCCACCAGCAATGGATAAGGTTTCAAATTTCTCTCTTTGGCATTTGTTATTTCCTGGTTTTTTATCTTAGCCATCCTACTGTGGAAGTATAATGGTATCTCATTGTTGTTTTGATTTGCATCTCTAATGATGCTGAGCATCTTTTCATGTGTTTGGTAGCCGTTTGGATGTCGTCTTTGGTAAAATGTCTATTTATGTCCATTGCCCATTTTATAATTTTGTTAGAATCATTTTTTGTTGTTAGTTGTCAGAGTTTTATATATATTTAGATTTTTAGGTTCTTGTTGGATACATGGTTTTCAAATATATTCTACCAGTCAGTAGCTTTTAACTATTTGGTAAGGTCTTTTGATAAGCAAAGTTTTTAATTTTTATGAGGTCCCATTTATTTATTTTGTCTGATCTTTTGTTGAAAGGTAGCCCTGACAGCATTGCCTTTGCTTGTTCTTCTAAGAATTTTGCACAGTTAGGTCCTTAATACATTTTGATTTGTTTTTGTGTATGGTGTGAGGCAAGAATCCTGTTTCATTTTTCTGCATGTGGAAATCCAGTTTTCCCTGCACCATTTACTGAGGAAAACTCTTCTTTCTGCATCTGATGGACACCCTTGTCAAAAGTCAGTTGACCATAGATGTATGGTTTATTGCTGAACTCTCCACTCTATTCCATTGGTCTGTGTGTCTGTTATTATGCCAGTTCCGAGCTATTTTAGTCTTCCTGATTTGTTTAGGTCATATGTGTTCTCAAGAATCACAGCATAATAGATAAGTGAAGTCTTTTAGAGTAAGGTATTGTCTTCAGCTAAAACCTTTGTACTGTTTTATTAAATTTGTCTTCAAACTAATGAGGAAATGAGAAGTACAAACTAAATCAAAAGTTTGTTCTTTGATTCTGTAAGTTGAATACACTAAGACTAGAGTTCTTTAAAAGTTCCTTTTTTACTTTTCTTTTTTATAAAATATATAGTTTTATGGCCAGTCCTTCTGAATGTAGGAGAATAGGGTCAGTCAGTGTTTCTCAAACTTTTTTCCTTATCAAGTGTTCTTCAGAAAAAGACTTCATTGGCAGAGAGAGGACTACTATCACAGTCTTTCCAGAGCCTTCAATGTGCACCTTCATGGGAGACTTTTGTGTACAACATTTCTCCAATTTGTTTGATCACAGGCTTCTTTTATAGTGGGCATCCTGTGAGTCTACTGTTCCCTGGAATTCACTTTGAAGCCCTTTTGGAATAGATGAATTTCTCTAGGTTTCTTGGTTTCTGTGATATGTGGAAAGAGATTAAGCCATCTACCAAATGATGAATTCCATAGCATTAAGCATTATATCATTGTGTATAATCTGTAAAGATTTGCAGAGGAATAGCTTAAAATTACTTTTTTTAACCTGTTTGATATGGTCTAGAATACTCATGATTGGGTTGGGAAATCTGAGCACAACAAAAATATTATGACCCATGAAGAAGGTAGCAGAGCCTCAAACCCTGATGGGCCCTGCTAGGAGTGGACAGCGGGACAGTAGCTTCCCTGAGTAGTCACAGCCACCACATTTTATCACGGCAACATGGTAGCTGTGTGTAGGCAGCATACGCAGTTATATACATTGTTGCTATGCTGTTGAGTCAATTTCAACTCATAGTGACACCATGTCACAGAGTAGAACTGCCCCAAAGGGCTTTCCAGGGACAGACTGCCAGATTTTTCTCCTGTGGAGCCGCTGGGTAGGTTCGAACCACCAACCTTTTGGTTGAGCACTTAACCGTTGCACTGTCAGAACTCCTATGCAGTTTTATGTACTGTATGTATATCAAAATAATCAAAGCAGATATAATTGCATATGAGCAGAGAGTAGGAGATAAAGACCTGAATCCTCAACATGTCTCTGAAGACATGACACCTGCCTTCCCCTCCAGCCTTGTGCCTTTGCTCTTCTTCTGTGCACTCCAGCTGTCCTCAGCTGCTCTCAGCCTCCTTTGCCTGGCTGACTCCCACCTGTCCTTGAGATCTTCACTGCATCATCATTTGCAGGGGTCTGAGCTGCCTGTTACACCACTTGCGTAGCACTCTATCCTCCTTCTTCTCAGCCTTCGCACACATCCTCTTATTTAAATAATTGGCTATTAAGAATATTTCCACGTTTGGTCTTCCTTGATAAGTTATGAGTCCCATTCATGAATGATTCTTTCTATTCACCAGTATATCTCTAGTGCCTGGTACATAATAGATATTCAGCAAATATTTTATAAACACATCATGAGTGTAGGGACAGTAGCTTCCCTGAGTAGTCACAGCCTTTCCAGAGCCTTCTGCTTCTCACTGTGACCTGCTGTGTGTTTTATTTGACAAGACCCCTGAGTGGCTGGACAGTGACTCCTGCCAAAAGTGTGATCAGCCTTTCTTCTGGAACTTCAAGCAAATGTGGGACAGTAAGAAAATTGGCCTAAGACAGGTTGGTGATGTGGAATCTACATCAAAATGTATGTAATAGTTTGGAAATAACTAGCCCTTTTGCTTTTCAGAGAAGTTGCACCCATAGGCAGGAATTGTGGTGGTAGTATTATTAGGTGTCATTGAGCCGGCTCCGACTCATAGTGACCCTATGTGTACAACAGAACAAAACACTGCACAGTCCTGCCCCATCGTCACAATACTTGCTATTGTGGGCAGGAGTTGTAATGGGGATAAATTCTTATCTATGGGTCGCTTTGTAACTGCATTAGTTTCACTCCCTTTGTCTTCTATAGCTCACTCTTAATGAATTCAGTTTGGGAAACTGTAGTAACTTGTTCCCAGTAAGCATGAAGAGGTGTGATTTTAGAATTCTAGTGTCATTTACTGGGAGTTCTGGTAGCATAATGGCTAAGGCACTTGACTGCTAACCAGAAGGCTGGCGGTTCAAACCCACCAGCCACTCCTCGGAAGGAAGGTTGGGCAATCCTACTTCCGTAGTGATACTGCCTCGGAAACCCAAGGAGGGGTCGCTATGAGTTGGGGCCGACTCGATGGCAAATAACAACAACAACAACAGTGTCATTTACTAAAATATGCCTTAAAAGTAAGTGGTCATGCTTGGCTTATATTAGTACCAAACCTTGGAATTGTATTAGTGGTTTTTATTTTTCCTTAATTATTTCACTTTCCTGCCACTTGTCTTAGTTTTAGTTATTTAGATTTACTTGTAATACAGCATTTTCAGTCAGATTCCATGGTTTGATTTGGTTTTCTCCAGAAAAAGCAAATATCAGGTCACCTAGGTTGAGCATGGCCTAAGTGTAGATAGATAATAGCTTGAACCCGGTTTCATCCATGTTCTCCTTCCTCTAGCATCTTGATCGCTGGAGGTGGCAGCTCCTTGGTACACCAGCTTTCAGACAGCCTGACCTCTGAGTGGTTCCTATATAGTTCATAGCAGTGTTAGCTGAAAAGCACCGAGAATTGGGAAAGGAGGTGGAATAGGAGGGTGGCAGTCAGATTTGTTTCCCCATAGTCCTGATTCTGAATAAACATAGTACAAAAAAAGAGCACACCTGGTGTTTTCCTTTTCGTTTTATGGGCCACTCTTGGTTAGCATCCTCACCTAAGTGCTGTTGATCCACCTCATTCTACCCAGAGGAGGTGAGGTCGGGAGCCATAGTGAGTTTCTGCCTTCTCTTCCTTCTCCAGCACCACTGCCGCAAGTGCGGGAAGGCTGTTTGTGGCAAGTGCAGCTCCAAGCGCTCCTCCATCCCCCTGATGGGCTTCGAGTTTGAAGTGAGGGTCTGTGACAGCTGCCATGAGGCCATCACAGATGAAGAGTAAGTGTCAGCATGTCTGCCGAATTCTCAAGCCTAAGGAGAGGCTCTAATCGGAGAGCTGCGCTCAGTGCTGCAGCCATGACTAATACTGGCCTAGTGCTTGCTGGTTTAGAATATAGACTCTGGCAATGGTAAGAGCCCTCCTTTTCCACCAAGGGATTTGTGCTATCTTGTGATATAGGACAAGAGGATATGCTCAAAGAATCCATCTGTGGGCATTCTTCAGTACCAGCAGTGAGAGCACAGGCTGTGTGCATTTAAAATGATGCTCTTGGAGCAGTTCCTTTTGTTTGCCCATTTCCTTGAGAATTGCCCAGGAGGGCAGGGGCCCACAGTTCCCTTTGTAGCCCAAGCTGTTGTCTTTACAGGAGTTGCATCAGGCCGCAGGTTTCAGGTTTCATTTCCCAGGAGGAGCTAAGGTACTTTACCTAAGGGGCAATACTGATTGGCCAGCTGGTCAGATAGGCTGCTTGTCAGCCCTACCCAGTAACCTTAGTTTATTGCACCTCAGTGTGTGTTAGAGATAGGAGGAGCTCTGGTAGCATAGTGCCTAAGGCATTTGACTGCTAACCAGAAGGCTGGCGGTTCAAACCCACCAGCCACTCCTCGGAAGGAAGGTTGGGCAATCTACTTCCATAGTGATACTGCCTTGAAAACCCAACGAGGTGTCACTATGAGTGGGGTCCGACTTGACGGCACATAACAACAACAACAGTGTTGGAGAGTGGGGCAAATCTGTGTTGTCTCTTTAATGTTGGCTGGTTGAAAACTGCCCCCAGATGTAAGCAGGGTGTTCTAGAACAAGTTTCTGTTTTAATGAACAGTAGGAGGTCTTCCTAATCCTCCCACTCTTAGGCAACCCCAGCACTTTGTGTGTAATAATACCATTTTAAGTACCAGATGATTGTCTTTAGAGTTGCATGTAAATAGAAACATATTTAAAATACACCAGAGGAGGGCAGCAATTAAAGGAGAGTCTTGGAAGTTAATAAAGATAGAAACAAGGTTTTCCCAGTGAGATCAATAGTACAAATAGCCTTAGTTTATATTTTTTTCTTTCTTTTTCACTCATCTCAAATATAAATTGACATCCTTTCAAAAGAAGTAAGCACTTACGTCCATTTGATTATTTTCCATTTATTATACATGATGAAATTAATAAGAGAATTCTCTCACATTGAATTAGAGAACTGGAAGAGAATTCAGAGATAATCTAGTTTAATTCTTCATGTAAAGACAGACCTAGAGAGTCTAGGCACGTTGCAAAGGAAGACTGAATCTCTCATTATAAAAATTTTAAAGTGATCCTATATAGTATACTGGAGATGTGCCAGACAGATTTATTTAGCTAAAGGGAAAAAGAAGAAAATAGCCATCTTTCAAGAGCCTGGTGCAGAGGAGTGAAAACCCCAAAACATGATTAGAAAACAACTGTCCTTTTTTCTAATCACTGTTGCCCTTTCCAAGTCACTGTGCCTTCTGCCTCTTCTCTGTGGAAGTGTTTGAGTTCTTTCTAGAGCAACTGCCCCTAGAGCACCCGGGCAGCTGGCAAGCCTCAGTGCTACAAAATGCAGACTGAAGTACAGAATGGGAGCTCTGGTGGTGTAGTGCATAAGGCATTTGACTGCTAACCAGAAGGTTGGCAGTTCACACCCATCAGCCACTCCTCAGAAGGAAGACTGGGCAATCTACTTCCATACAGATACCAACTCAGAAACCCAAGGAGTGGTTGCTATTAGTTGCAGTTGACTCAATGGCAGTGAGTTTGGTTTGTTTGTTTTTTTTTAAGTACAGAAGAATCAGAATGTTTGCTTACATTTTGTTTTACTAGTTAAAGCTTCATAGTACTTCAGAAAAACTAAGCCTGCAGTTAACACCAGTGAAAAGAGGAGAAAGAATGGATGGCCCCTCTGTTAGTATGACAGTTCTTATTACCTTAGGTTAGCAAGCATGCCCTTTTTTTGGTAAGTCTTTATGGAAGTAGATTGCCCAACCTTCCTTCTGAGGAGTGGCTTGTGTGTTTGAACCGCCAGCCTTCTGGTTAGCAGTCAAATGCCTTAGGCACTATGCCACCGGAGCTCCTTTTAACATGTATAATCTCATTGAATCCTCCTAACAATCAAGGGTAGTAGCTTTCACATTTCTCATTTCACAAATGAGAAAATTGACTATAAAATCAGTAAACCTGTTGTCTTCAAGTTGACCCCAAATAGTGGTGACCTCATTTGTGTCAGAGTAAATTATACTCCATGGGGATTTCAGTGGCTGGCTTTTGTTCCCAGAAGTAGATAGGCCACCCTTTCTTCCAGAGCACCCCTGGGTGGACTCAAACCTCCAACTTTTCAGGTGGCAATGAAGTGTGTTAACGGTTTGCACCACCCAGGGACTCCTACGGAGGAAAAGTCAGCTGGCCTCCCACTCCCAGTTTAGTAAGTAGTAAGACCAGAACTCATGGCCAGCAACTCTCAGTGGACTCTCATTAGAAGTTGTGCTCCTTGACCATTGTGCAGTATGCCTCCCAAGTTGTTGGAAGCAAGCATGCATATTTAAAGAAAAAAAAACTATATAGGCAAAGGTAGAATATTTTACTGGCAAGCCCTCCTGGGATCAAACTTGGTGAAAGCACTGCTTGTTTGTTGTTGTTAAGGTTTATAAAAAGCACAGGTAGAGATTTTATCTCTGGAACTTCACAGACTCCATTGGAGCAACAGATTTGCCGGAAGGACTTTTGGAAATTTCTCCCACCTTGGAGAATATAAGAATCCTTTTATCTTTTTTTTTTTTTTTTTTTAATGCGTAACAGGTCTCCAGGAATGCAGGTAGATCTGATGAGTTTTTAAGTTAAGTGATTTTAGCCATTTGACTGAAAATTAGAGCTTAATGTCCTCTCAATCGACTTCATTCCTATGTCACTACTTTTCACCCTCCAAAACTTTCTTTTCTTCTCTGCTCCTTCCAGACGTGCACCCACAGCCACCTTCCACGATAGTAAACATAACATTGTACATGTGCATTTTGATGCAACCAGAGGGTGGTTACTGACTTCTGGAACTGACAAGGTCATTAAGGTAGGCCACTATCTTATTTTTGAAGCTTTCCATATTTGTCCTTATGTAAATACGCAGGAGTGCCAAGATTATGTGAGGTACTGTTCAAACAGCTATTCTTAGCAGTGAGCATTTTTGAGAGCCTATTACATACAGGGCCCATGCCAGGCACAGAGAAATGACATGGCCCCTGCCTGCAAGGAACAGCTAGCTACTTGAGACAGGGATATACTCTTAAAAAGAGAAATAATATAGATATTCATATAGGTACTAAAATGATACCTCATGGGAAAATTGCCAAGAGTAATACAGTTCTTTGACAAGAATTATTTTAAGAGTTCAGTAAAGGGAGAAGGTGCTGCTGGAGAAGACTTGGTGAAGGATGTGGGGTTTGAGCTGAGCACTGAATGAAAGATAAAACTTGAATAAACCAACAGAAATAAACAAGGTTTTCCCAGTGAGATCAATTAACAGAAACACTTGCCCAGGGCCTCTCTGAGGAGTATGGTAGACCACATGGATCAGTGCCACTGCAGAGACCCCAGACAGAAGGGGCCACACCTACGTCACTCTCTGGGACCCACCACTCAGGCCTGTCCTTGGAGCAGCAGCAGGATGAGGTGGTTAAAATAACCCCCTTTGGAAGCAAGGCAGACCTCTGTGACTTTGAGTAAGCTTAAAATAAACACTGGGAGTCTGGGTTCTTTTGTTTGTAAATGAGAGATCTTGTCAAAGTGTTTGGAAGATTACGTGAGATAAGATGTGGAAAAGACACAGTGCATGCCTGGGACCCACTTGGTGCCCAGTGTGCGTTAGTTCCCTTCCCCCCAAATGCCTTTCTGCCTTCCTTCTCCATCGTCATTGTCAGCTGCCATCCAGTCAGCCCTGACCCTATGCACAGTGGAACCCAACCCTGCCAGGACCTGTGCCAGCCCCTTCTTGGTTGTGGATCAGACCGTTGTGATCCACAGAGTTTCCATTGACAAATTGTCAGAAGTTGCTCTATTGGCTGGATCAAAGTTTCTAGCTGCTGTTGTCATGTTTTTGAGCTTTATGTTGAACTTTCAGATGAAAAAATGTTTTAATATATAGATTTGGAATTTATATTAGTATAGTATTTAGTTGATTTTCAATGAAAAAGTTTACTTAAAGAATTCAAACAGCTGAGTACTACTTAAGGAGCTCTGGTGGTGTAGTAGATAAGGCATTATTTGGCTGCTACCCAGAAGGTCAGCAGCTCAAACCTGCCAGCCGCTCCACAGAAGAAAAGTGGGTCAATCTACTTCCGTAAAGATTTACAGCCAAGGAAATACAATGAGGGGGCAATATGAGTCGGAATAGACTTGATGGCAGTGGGTTTGGTTTTTTGTTTGTTTGAGTATGTTTATCCACACCATTTTTTAATCCATGACACATCTTCCTTTTCTTTTTACAGTTGTGGGATATGACCCCAGTGGTGTCTTGATGACACCCCCCGGGATCAGAGAGAGCATGTTTACTGAAGAAGTGGTTGTTCTAATCTAAATCATTGCTGCAAATGTAAAGGAAAGTAGACACGCAAGAAGAGACAAACTACAGAGCCTGGATGAGTTCGCGTGTGTGAACTCATGGACAGTGGTAAACTGGTAACTGAACACTTGCAACTTGTTCATACAATATCAAAGAAGGTATTTTTTAAACAAATGGTTTATACAGTCTGGCTATGCTACATTGCTTTGAGTATAATGAAAAATCTGTGTGGGGTGTTTAATTTTTGTATTGCTTTACTTGTTGCTTGTGTGTCGGAGAAACGAGGGAAGTATCTGTTCAGGGCATTTTTGGTCATCATAAAGTAGCTCCTGTGTTTCCTTCACTTTGGCATGTATCATGTGGTCAGCATCTTGTCTCCTTTCATCTTTCTGCATCTACCCTACCCATCGTCTGCTGTTGACCAGAGTACCTGTATTCCACTATTTATTCTCAATGTCTCTGCTTTCATACCCTCTTCAGTGGAGAGATGTGGAGAGCCATCTGTGTGGACCTGCCAGCTGACATCTTGAATCACCTGAGGATGATCTGTTTGACTCATCCGTGTTCTTATCCCGTAGCAATGACCCTGCATTGCCGCTCAGGGTTCTCTGTCTTTCCCACCTTAGAAAGCTGCTCCCCAGTATCGTCATCAGCAGATAGTTACAACTTAGAGCTTCGATTCTCAGTGCCTGGATCATTTACGACTCAGTTGGAGCCTCCTGGGCCTTTTATATCTTAGTTTTATTTGACACCACTCTCCCTCCCTCATAGTACTTAAAAACAAACAACAAAGACCCTACACATTTCAAGAACAAGTGTCGTTAAGATGCACTCTTCCATGTGACATCACCTCAACTTGAATGTGTTTATTACTGCAAGATTGTAGTCCTGTTATATCTCTCACCTTCTGTGTTTTCTTTCCCTTTAGAAACTAGTTATTTAAACTTTTTTTTATCTTAATACCCTTTATCAGAACACTTTGCACACTTTCATGTGAAAACTGTACATCACCTGGAACATAAAGGTACTGAATCCCACAGCTCAGGCTGTATCCTGTCAAGAATGTAAAGAGGCTTCAGAAAATGGACCTGAAGAACAGAACTCTCTATTTCTGAGGGAATCCAATCAAGCTTGATAAAGTGAGATATTCCATTGTACTGACTCAACTCAGGATTTTGAAGTCTTTATTTAAAAAAAAAAAAAAAAAAACTTATTTGCACCTGTGAAAATAAATTAAACAGCAGTTAGCTGCAAACATGGACCACATGCCTGCCCCCTTCTGAGCACTTTACATGTAGCGCCTCATGCAGTCTCCACCTGGCAGAAGCACCTGGAGCATCACTGTCCCGTGGGGGTCACCAGGTTAAACAAAGGCCTGCAGATAAACAGGCCAGTTACTGCCCTTCCATACCTAAGCCCTGCCTCCACAGTATCTTGTTCACTTCTGAGTTGACAGCTTTTGGTCGTGATATTGGAGTGAAATTGAAACCCTCCCTATTTTACCTTCTCTTTTTCTGGAAAGCAGTTTTTCCCCCTTCATAATCATTAATTCCTTTTCTTTCTAACGAGAGGAAGTGCTACAAACCATCCTTCCATACCACCCCTACCACTGACAAAGTGTGCTCTCTGGGGATGGGGCTTCCAAGAGGTGGCTCTGCTCTGCCAGCATTGGGAAGCAGGGCCATTGTGCATGTCCTGGGCAACCAGATCGCATTATGGCCACTGCCAAGACATCAGACTGGAGGGACCATGTGACCCTCACTAAAAGGATACACACATAGCAATCACCACGTGCCCCCTCACTGCCCCTTCCGTGCTACCGTTGCTTGCCTGAGTCACTGCTGTTGTTACTACTTTGAGTCTTTTCTGCACAATTGCTCTACAAGAGAGCTTTGAAAAGGGAATTAAATTTAAAATACTCAAGTATTTCATAGTTTGTTATTAGAACGCACAGCCCCTTAATAAGTTACACAAAGTAGAGTAACCATGCCTTGAAAATGAGTAATAGAAATTAATCACTCTGTTGTCTGTTCCATGACTTTGGAGCCTGGCCTGTGTACAGACAGGAAAACAGAATGTTTGGGACGCAGTACATCAGGCACTCAGCAAGCCTTATGGGACTCTGAGTTCGCTCTAGATGACCTCAAACCTCATTCAGGAAGCAAGTTGCCCTAACGGATCCCATGTGTACACAATGGTCACTCTACTGTTTTGGCTCTGTACTTCACACTAGCCATGGCTGTGCCCCATAGAACCACACACAGGTGGAACCATTTGGAACCTCATTGGTGATCAGCTTCACACTCAGAGACCACAGATAAGTCAAGGTATCCATTGCCCTACCTATTTCTTTGTTCTCATCTGGTATGGGTACTTGAATTTGGTGAAAAGTTTAGCAAACCAAGCATGTAATACCAGTAATACTGTGAATTCCTGAGTTTTATAGTAAGTGTCTCCACCATATTTGTAACGCACAGAAATATATTTGCTGGCATTGAGTGTCCCCAAGAATTTTATGGAAATGGAGCCTTCCCTCATTTGGAGGGAAGCTGGCCCCAGCACTTGCTTTTCTCCTGTCTAGGTTAACTGTCAGTTCTTGTTTTGCCCTCTTGGATTTGCACTTTACATGTCTTTTTGCTCCATCATTTAAACACATAGCAGCTCTGGCAGTTAATGCCTCGCATGGCTATGTCATAGGAGTGACAGAACTACACATGTTACACGTGTAGAGGTGGTTCTCTGTTAGGCAGAATGAAACTAATCACGTGCTCTCAGTTTCTCTAAGGGAATGATGTTACTAGAGCTATCAGCTGCCTGTGTAAAGTCTCCACAGCGGTGAAAGTGGTTTTACATTAAGTACTTAGAATCTTGTCTCCTTTTATATGAGATCAATCAACCATCACCAATTTTTAGGGTATTTTTCTCATTTGATTGTTTGAATTATTCAAAGAATCATAAAATCACAAAATTGGAAGGGATCAAAAATGTAGAATGTTCCAAGCACAAAACATTTCATTCATCCCAGACAGGTAGTATTATTCAGGTATAAACAAACAAATCTAGAAGAATTCTCAAGAACAGTTGATTTTGAATATTAGTTGGTAATGGTGTGCATGAAGGGAGTGGCTTCCATAGCCTTGAGCCTCTCAGGACCTAGGTATGTTCCTTTATCTTAAGTGTATTAGACATTTGTTTTGGGCCCCAGCCCTGTGGTTGTGATTGGGTGAGTACTGTACAGTGAAGTGGCTATTGCAGATCTTCATCAGCATAAACCCTTCCTAGGAGCTCTGGTAGCATAGTGCCTAAGGCACTTGACTGCTAACCAGAAGGCTGGCAGTTCAAACCCACCAGCCACTCCTCGGAAGGAAGGTTGGGCAATCTACTTCCGTAGTGATACCACCTCGGAAACCCAAAGAGGGGTCGCTATGAGTCGGGTCCAACTTGACGGCACATAACAACAACAACAACAAACGCTTCCTGCACTCTTTACCACGGACCACCCCAGTGGCAAAATTTAAGTGCCAATCCAAGGCCCTGAAAATGCCCTCCCCACCCCCATCTGAGGCCTGGCCTGGAGTAGCTTCGGGCCGCCACCATCTGCTGTTACAAAGCATCACCTGTTTGCCTCCTGAAAAACCATAACTTATTTTTGCTTAATACTAAACAATTTTTAAAGCCTGAATTTTGACTTCTAAGCAAAAGGATAGCTCTAAATTATGATTCGAAGTTACTAGACATAAATATTCATTGAATGAGATGCATTTGGTTTTATCTTTCCATGGTCATCTAATTGTATGTAAATGACCCTGTACACTAAGGTTTATATTTTAAAGTGAAAGTATTTTACCAAAACATGTTTATTTTTCCCTCCTTTAAAGTAATTTTAAGTTTTTCCTGATAAGAAAGTGAATGTCTAGCAACTTGATGGTAAAACACAAAAATTAAATCCGTTTTGAGAACCGAGTTACCTAGATGATGCGTGAGGTTCTAGGCTTTGGAAAGGGCACTGGCCTGAGCCAAGGCCACACAGATGAGCAATTGCATCATCTCAGTACCATGTGGTAGATGCAGCCGAGAAGGTGTGCTTGGGCCCCTGCCCCAGCTGGAGGGGCTCCTCAGAGGAAGGGGCTTCTGAGCAGAGTTAAAAGATGAGTAGGAGGGGAAGAGGAAATGACTCCCCAAGCTTCAGAAATAGCTTAGCAAAGTCCCAAGATATGTAATCAACTTGGTGTGCTCAGGGACCACAGGTGGTATGGAGTTGCCAGAGAATGTCAGGCGCCTCGTCTGCAGTCCTGGAGCTTGGGGTCTCGTTGCTATTAGACAATGCTGCTCTGTGACCACAGAGGAACAACACGGTCATCTGTGAGGTGTGGCTCAGAGGCTCATCATGCTCCACTTCAGTCAGGTTTCCTGCCCCCATGTTAATATCAGTTTTTTTATCTTTGAAAATGCCCCATGGTAACTGATTTTGAACTTCCTTCTCTGCAGGCTATGAGATAGACCTTGACTGAGAAGAACTTCTTTACTAATTACATAATTTTATAGGTGAGCCAGGCCCAGCTGCTCCACTTGGTAAAAAGAGAGAGGCTGAACTATGGCAGGAGATTGTTCTAGACAACTGTGGCATTACACTAACTTGCACCAAGTGTTTTGCACGTTTGAGCAGACAGCTGTTGCCTCCATTTCCTCCTTGGCCTTAGATGGTTCATGCAAGAATGTGACAAATACTCATCGTGGTGGCCCTTGCCAAGTGGAACTGAAAGGTTTTTTTTGTTTGTTTGGTTTTTTGTGTGTTTTTTTGTAAATCAAGTCCATTAATAGAAAAAAAGGCTTTGGGACAGCTCCTGCCAGGGAGACCCAGGAGCATCCCAACTCCCGTGGTGGGAATTTAAGTGATTCTCTTCCTTGACATTATAAGCCACAGGACTTTTGCTTTCACGTGTCCAAGTATCATATGCCCATAACTTAATAGATTTTGTGTCTGTGTTTAAACTTTAGCTCAGCTTTACAACCAAGAACTACATCCTTCTCAACCCTCAAGATTTGTAGTTTGTGTTTTTCCTTTAAATGATAGCCTTTCTACAGAGAAGCCTCTTCCGGTCTCATTCAAAAAAGCACTGCCTAAAAATTGGATCTGTCCCAAATCATGATGGGATCCTCTGTGTTTACCATGCCAGAGAACTTAGGACCAGACAGGAAGGAGGTGGCTCCTTGTCAGAGATGTGGACAGGAGAGCACAGCCGGAATAAGGACTGAATGAGATGATTCTGAAGGTCCCTTCCAATCCTGGGATTTTCAATTCTGGGATTCCATGAATGTTATCACTGGACTAGTCAAAGCTATCCACACAGCTGACTTAGATTAATGAGAGCGTATAACGTGCTTTTGTTGTGTTCTACCACATCAGTCAATTGCTTTCTAGATTTTCCCATCTTGAGTCTAGTAAGTTTGGTTTTGGAAAAAAGATGGTGAAGGTGGACATAATCATGGTACCATCTCATTAAACATAGATACCTCATATATTCACCTTTATGAATCAGAAGAGTATTTGACTTTCTTGGGAGAGGATGTGTCAGGGAACTGCAGGTTGGTTTAAAGATTAGATAAACAATCCAATCTTGACATTTATGGTTTTCTCTCCCACCTCACCCCCTTTTTTCCCCTTGGTTCTCTGGGAAGTGTGAGAAGGTGAGCTCTAACTAATAAAAAGGGAAAACAATTTGAAAAAGTATTTTACTTATATACATGCTTTTATTTAAATGGATGGCAGCCTTATATCAGTAGCATTTGCCAATATGAAGTATGGACCAAAACACGTGTGTTACTGTTAACCATTGTACTCTTATATATTTGTGTGTTACGCCATTTGTCTTGCTTTTTAAATGACTTGTTTTTCACTGTACTATGTTTTGCAAAAGAAAATCTTTCTATGAAAAGTATTTAAAAAAAAAAAAAAACTGTTACTAACTGGAGAACAGGGAAGGTGCTAGCTCCACGCTTTTGTGCCTGCCTAACCACTTTATCCATAACCAGGTCCAGGAACTTGGCCACTCAGCATGTCCATCAAGTCTGTGGCCCACATCTCATACTGGCTGCAGTGGGCCTGTTCCTTTATAAATATGTTTTACTTTCCTTTGAAATGCGGAAATTCTCAGAAGTGTTGGGCTGAGGATGTCATAAGCCTGAAGTTGGAATGGATTTCTGAAATGTAGTTCCAGCTGAACTGGCATTTGCTGTGCTCTTGGCCACTACATCCCACCACCCAGACCGCCCAGTCTTGACACTGACTTCCTGAATGTGCTTCGGTGGTAACGACCAAGATTTCTGACGTTACAGTGTCTGTGTCCAGATCTACATTCAAATGCTGCTGAACACTGTGTCTACTCTGCTCACTTACCCACTGTGCTTCTCAAACCAAATGTCCCTGTAGCCACAGTCAGTGTAAGAGACTCTTGATGCAAAGTGGCCTCCATGGTTTAAAATAAATCTCTGCAGAAACCTGCCTGCAGCTGTGGCCCCATCCTTTGTTGTTGCTGAGCTGTAACATGACCACATGCACCCAGCCACCCTGTTCTGGGGTTCACCTCATGAGTGCTGTCTGCTCTGGTGGTGTGGGTGAGTTTCCACCTGTCTAGACCCGAGAGAGAGAGACAGTCTGGAGACCAAGGTGAGCTGCTCACCACAGACTCTAGGCAAGTGGGCTGTGGCCATCGTAAAAAATAAATAAATAAAAACGGCCGTTGATTGAGACTCATGGTGTACCCATGTGTGTCAGAGTAGAACTGCTCCCTAGAGTTTTCATTGGCTGTAATCTTACAGGATTAGATTGCCAGGCCTTTGTTCATGATGCCACTGGATGGACTCCAATCTCCAGCCTTCTGGTTGGTAGCCAAGTACAAACCGTCTGTGCCACCCAGGAACCTGTAGCCACCTTTTATTTTCTTTATCTTACCTTCACATAAGTCTGCTCTGTGGTTAACTTTCCAAACAAGAACAAGGACTTCAGGGCAAATACAGCCATGTAAAGCCTCTCGTGAGACCCATTTTATGGTTAAGAAAAAGTACAAAGCAGCCAAGTGGCCTGCACAATGGGGAATAGCCAGTGAGGGGAAGAGCTGGGTTGTCTTTCACACTGAGACCTCTGTCCTGTGGCTAACCACCCCCCACCCTCACTCCAGAGCACTTGAGCCCTTAAGAAAGAGGGTGGATGCATGCCTGCATGTGTGAGCACAGGGCAGAGTGTCACCGTCCCTGATGTACACTGACCTCCTAGGCAAGTGCACCCAGAAAAAGTCCTTCCCTGGGGATAATGGGCTGGCGGGTCTGGTGGAGGGCCAGTGGGCAGGCTGGGCTATGCCTTCCAGGCTTTGCTCGGCTTTGATGAGGAGATGCTTACTTGACCTTGAACACCAAGGCTGTATGCACGTAATTCTAAACCCATTCACTGATTTTATTACAACTTTCCCTCAAGTCGCTTAGAGGTAAAATGATGTGATTTAGTTTTATCAAACTAGGCCAGTTTCATTTGGTTAATACCCATTGTCCCTTGATTTTGCTTGTTCCTGGCAACATACATGCAGAAGCAGTGCCAGCCTCCTTGAGCACACACACAATGGTCAGCTTCGGACAATGGCCAAGTGGGAAAAAAAGAAAGGAGAGGCCACAGAGCACATAGTCATTCTTCCTCCCACTCCTGTCTCCCCTCCAATTGACAACATTAATCTTAAGGGTAGAATCTTTAAGAACCATATTCTCAAGTAACAGGAAAAGAATCTGCTGCCAAAGGGCAAGAAGAGCTTGTTCATGGTCATCATTATATTTATTTTAAAATAAAATGTTACTGTTCCTCATAGGTGCTTCATTGCTGAGGGGCAGCTCAGAGGGGAGGGAAAGTGGAGTGTTCTCACTGGCAGCTCCGGCTCCTTTGTGAAGGCAATTCTGGCCCCTTGGCCTGGCCGGGCCTATTTAAATCTCTGAGCCAGCTGTTCCAATACTTCAATTAGCTTCTCTTCAGCCAGTGAGGAGAATGTTCTAGCCAGAGGCAAGTGGTAGAAACGTGTGAGCCACCACAGTGTGGACACCTCAGACCTGTTGCTGCTCAGGCCTGGGTCAGCCATGTCACTGGCCCCAGCAGGAGAAGAAGCAGGAGGGGCCCACAAAGGAAGGTATACACCCTGCCCTCAAGGGTCTCAGACTAACCAGGCCCGGCAGAAGTGCGCTGTAGTTCAAACCCACCAGCTGCTCTGCAGGAGGAAGATAAGGCAATCTACTTCAATTTACAGCCTTGGAAACCCAATGGGGGTCACTGTGAATCAGAATCAATTCGACAGCAGTGGGTTTTTACAGAAGGTACACCTAGCAGAGGAGAGAAACCAGTTGATGTCCAGTGGACTCCAGCTCAGGGCACCCCACGTGTGTCCAAGTAGAACTGTCCCCCAGAGGGTTCCCAATGGCTAATGTTTTGGAAACAGATCACCAGGCCACCATTCTAAGACGCCTCTGAATTGACTTGAAGCACCAACCTTTTGTCTATCTTTACACTACCCAGGGACCGCCAGTGGGGAAGAGAGAGGAAATTAAAGCTGAGTTTTAAGGGAGTCACAGACATTCTCCGAGTGCCTAGTAGGGTAGGGAAGTGTTCAGGCACAGGTAACAGAGTGGGGAGAGGGACCTGTTTGGAACAGGCAGGTGGTAGGTGGGACTAGAATGGGGGGGCAGGTGGGAGATGAGTGGGAGAAGGATCTGCTCCAGGGATCAGCAGAGCTTCGTTACAGCTCAAGCAAGGGTGGTTATCGGCCATGATGAGAGAAGACGCCGGCTTCTGCCCTAGGAAAGCAGTCCCTTCCTTATGGAGACAACTATCACACCTGTCCCCTCTCCTCGGGGCATGCTGCCTTAAGAGTCCCACTGAGATAAAGAACAAAAATGCAAACTGCTTCCAAAAATAGAAGCTAAAGCAGAGTCATAGTTGCCCCGTTCACATTGCTGCCTCTGGCTGCTTCTGTTCCCCTGAGACCGAACTGTCTTTCATCCCCAAGGTGAGACTCACCTCCACAGCGCCCACAGGTGAGATCTTATCCTGGACTTTGATTCTAGGGAATTTCTATACTCAAAGAACTCACCAAGTTCAGGAATATAACCAGGATGGAGGTAAAGGTAGCAGGAGTGTTGGGGTGACGGAGTCCAGGGATGAAGCACTTCAAAGAACCAACCCCAGCGTTAAGGGAAGGAGCCCTGTAACAGGAAGGACAGGCAATCCACACGTTTCAGGGCAGCACAGACAACCTCTAGAGCCAAGCTCCCTGCCGCCCGGCTCTGTGGTTTACAGACAGGGAGGGTGGCAGTGGCTTACACGACAAAAAGAGAGTTACCTTGGAAGAACTGCCCCCCAGGGTGCACAGTGGCTGCAGAGGACAGGGCAAGTCACAGCACCCTGTCTGCCCCCTGTGCTGGCGAGCAGTCTTCATCCTGGTGTGGGAGCCCGGCATTGACAGCCACGCAGCTATGGGAGGAAGGGGACAGTGAACAGGACAGGTTGATAATGACAGCATTCTGGAGTAAAGGAATTTGGTGTTCTGGCATCATTTATAATGATGCAGTCATAAACTTTCTGCTTCAAAATAACACTTGTCCGGGCTGTTGTGAAGGTATTTCTAAAACAGCTTTAACATAAAGACCCTAAGGTGCTCTGCCACCTGGTGGGAAGTGCTGAGGGCGCTGGCTGCCCTATTGCAGGCCCTCAGACCACCTATCCGAGGGCAAAATCACCTCAGAGCTCAGAGGACACAGGTCCCTTCTTAAGGAACAGGGCTCTAGAGAGGCGTAGGCCCCACACTAAGACCAGGAGGGCTAAACCCTCAGTTTCTAGACTCCTGCCTTAGCAATCTCTCTAAGAAAATCCTGGTTGTTGGTTTCTTGGACTATTTTTGTATTCTTTTTAGAGAGGAGTACATTTGACCGCTAACCAGAAGGTTGGTGGTTCAAACCCACCTGTTGCTTTGTGGAAGGAAGATGAGGCAATCTACTTCAATAATTATTTACCACCTTGGAAACCCAGTGGAGGTCACTATGAATCGGATCCGTCTCAATGGCAGTGAGTTTGGTTTTTTTTTTTTTTTTTGGTGTCGTATAAGGAACTCTGGTTGTTCAGTGCCTAAGGCATTTGACCACTAACCGGAAGGTTGGTGGTTCAAACCCACCAGCTGCTCCACAGAAGGAAGATGAGACAATCTACTTCTATATAGATTTACCGCCTTAGAAACCTAGTAGGGGTCACTGAGTCAGAAATAACTTGATGGCAGTGGATTTGGTTTGGTTTTTTTTTTGTTGTTGTTTTGTTTTTTTGGTTTATATAAGAAGAGGAGCCCTAATGGCATAGAGGTTAAAGCATTTGTCTCCTAACCAAAAGTTCGGCAGTTTGAACCCTCTCCTGGTGCTCTGTGCTGGATGCATTCCTTCTGTGTTTATAACAGGTCTGTGCATCAGAAGATCAGTTCTTCCAAGTCTCCAGGCCAAGTACACCTCTCTCTGCAGGGGTGGGTGTGTGTTGTAGCAAACTTAAGAACTGTACTATTATTGTTGTTGTTAGGTGCCGTCGAGTTGGCTCTGACTCATAGTGACCCTATGTACAACTGAACAACACTGCCCTGCCCTGCACCAGCCTCACAGCTGCTCCCAGGGAGAAAGATGAAGCAATCTGCTTCCATAAAGATTTGCAGCCTTGGGAATCCTCTGGGCAGTTTTGCTTTGCCCTATAAGGTTGCTGTGAGTCTCAGTCGACTCAATGGCAGTAGGTTTGGTTTTGGGTTTGGTAGTAAGAAGGGAAAGGATATTTTTACCTCTTCTGCCAAGCTGTCTGCCGTGTCCTCCCCCTGCATCCAGGGCTACACAGAAGTGTGTTGGTAAACAGCGCAACCTCCCCACCCAGCCCTGGCCCCTTCTCAGCCAGGCCCTCAACACTGTGCCACGGCCCCTTCTTCAGCCAGGCCCTCAGCACTGTGGCTGCTGCTTGCCAGGCCGCAGCCTCCCCAGATCCAGGCAGTACTGGCTTTACGATTTGGCTGTAGGCGAAACCCCCATTTTCCCACAGACCTCGGGGAACACACTCTCTCTAAATTGAGCACATTGGGAAACAAAATTGTTCTCTTGTGAAGCCAAGGAAAGAAAACAAACCAGAGAAAACATTTAGAAGCCTTATTGAGATCAGAGAATTTTAGAGATAGGAGTTATCTAATCTAAGGCTCTTTTAAAAAAAAAAATTAAAAATAAACTTTTTTTTTTCTTTTTATAGACATAATACTTGTTTATTGTGGAAAACTTAGGAAATACTTACGAAAAGAAGGCATTTAAAGCCCTCCGTCCTACCACTCGTCCCTGGGTGGTGCGAACGGTTAGCATGCTCTGCTACCAGCTGCACAGCTGGAGGTTGGTGTCCACCCAGAGCCACCTCAGAAGAAAGGCCTGGTGACTGCTCCTGAAATATCAGCTGTTTACACCCTATGGAGTGTGGTTCTACTCTGACACATGGTTGCCATGCCTCAGAATCGGCTCAACACCAACTAGTTTTTGACTGGTCAGAGATGACAATTGTTCACATGCCCAGACAGGCCCAGTCATTACATACAGAACCTGTGGACCACAGGTGGAAACCACACCTTAATCCTATGTTAAACCCAGGCAATCTGCTTGCTAAACAGAGACTTTGTAAACATACAAATTACTTATGTCAGAGTTGTCAGGGTGATGTATATGGGAGCATAAGAGGCCAGGGGCTTCCCACAGCCTGGTGGAGCTCACCCTGGGCAGGCAGAACCGAACATGACTCTTATTAGGAAGTGAGACGAACCGAGAGGCCACGCTCTGCAAACACCAGCCTGACCCTCTCCTGGTGCTCTTTGCTGGGTGCATCCACTCTGTGTTTATGACAGGTCTGGGCATCAGAAGGCCAATTTCTGCCAAGTCTTCTAGGCCAAATACACCTCTCTCTGCAGGGCTGGGCGTGTGTGTACAGCAAACTTAAGGATTGTACTATTGTTGTTGTTGTTGTTATGTGCCGTCAAGTCAGCTCTGACTCATAGTGACCCTATGTACAACTGAACAAAACACTGCCCTGTTCTGCACCATCCTCACAATCCTTGCTCTACCTGAGCCCATTGCTTAAGCCACGGTGTCAGTCCATCTTGTTGAGGGCCTTCCCCTCTTTCATTGACCCTCCACTTTACCAAGCATGATATCCTTCTCCAGGGAATGGTCCCTTCTGACAATATGACCAAAGTAGGTGAGAGAAGTCTGGCCATCCTACTTCCAAGGAGCATTCCAGCTGCACTTCCTCCAGGATAGATTTCTTCATTCTCCTGGCAGCCCACGGTACCTTCAGCATTCTTCACTAGCACCACAACTCAAAGGCATCACGTGCTATTTCCGAACCTGATGTTTTCATTTAGCAATATGGTGCAGACAGTTCCGAGGCCTGAGCGGTATTCTTTGGTACAGCTGTTAAATCATTTATTAATCTCTTATCACCAGTGCTGTGATGAGCAATCTTGTTTCCTATTATTATTAATTCTTAAGATGAATTCAATATAATGCACACACACACCTGCATACACTTAGAGAGAGAGGTGCCTGGTGACACAGGCAGTTTGTGCTTGACTACTAACCTAAAAGTTGTTGGTGGTTCAGACCCACACAAAAGCTCCACAGAAGACAGAACTGCCAAACCACTTGTGCAAAGATTACAACTAGGCAAACTCTGGAGGAGTTCTACTCTTTTACACATGGGGTTGCCATGAATCGTAATCAACCCGACAGCAACAGGTTTTTATAAATATGTAGATAAATTGTAAGGCTTCTAGTAAACAGTTGCAGTGTGGCTTTGAGAAGCATTGTGCTGACAGTATATGAGGTATGAGAGCCTACTTCCCAAAACTCTGCGACCCGGGACCAGCTGGGTGGCCTTACCCTCTCTGCACCTCGGTTCCCTCATCTGTAAATGGGTATAATCGTAGTGCCCACTTCCTGGGGTTGTGAGAACTGCCTAAGCTTATATACATCCTTGCAGGGGGCCTGCTGTGGCTGCTGTGCTTGTAGTTGCCTTGTCTGGGAGGAGGAAAGAGTTGTAGAGAGCGAGCCAAAGCGACCTGCCCGAGGTCGGCAAGTTGGTAGGGGCAGAGCTGGGGGATCTGCTCTTCTTCATTGCTCTTCTGGCATACTTCCAGAAAACTCAAGGTGTCTCTTAGTAATCATGTTATCATTATTATTTCCAGAGACCTGAGTGAGGGTGGTGAGGTGGCCCAAGCCTTGCCTCAGCCCCTGCCATTCATCTCTGATACGGGAGTGGCCTTATTCAGCAGCTCCGTCAGCACTGGATGCTGTCATAGTTAGGAGGGCTTATGAAGGCCAGGATCCAGTCTCACCTCCAAGTGCCCCCCCCCCCATCCAGCACCATCCCCTTCCTTGGCTTTGCAAAAGGCACCCTATGGACCAAAGCTCTGTCTCTGAGAACAAGACCTCTCCTTCTCTAGTCTCAACATACCTGACCTAAATGGACATGGAGAAATCCTTTGGTCCTTGTTACACTGGTTTGGGGTCGCTCCCGGGGAGTCAGTCCTGCTCAGGTGTTTTTAGATGAAGCGTAAGCAGCATGGAAATGGAGGCTGTGGTATACCTGGAGAGTCCGCCCAGCCAGGATGCGTGGACGAGAAGTGGATGGCTGAGTGGGCGCTGGCCCATCACTCAGTCAGAACCACTTGCTGCCTCTGGGACAAGAGTGAAGAATGAACCAGTGAGGACTGGTTGTGAGGCAGGGGCTGGCCAGCAGGCTCAGGAGACACCCCCACCCCTTCTGCCCAGGATTGCAGTGTGCGCATGTGCCTAATATGCATGTGAAAGCTGGATAATGAATGAGGAAGACCCAAGAAGAGCTGATGCTATTGAGTTGTGGTGTTGGCGAAGAATACTGAAAGCACTATGAACTGCCAGAAGAACTAACCAATCTGTCCTGGAAGAAGTGCAGCCGGAATGCTCCTTGGAAGTGAAAATGGCCATACCTCATCTCACCTACTTTGGTCACGTTGTCAGAAGGGACCATTTGCTGGAGAAGGATATAATACTTGGTAAAGTGGAGGGTCAGAGAAAGAGGGGAAGGCCCTCAGCGAGATGGAATGACACAGTGACTGCAATGATGGGCTCAGGTATAGCACAGATTGTGGGGATGGCACAGGACCGGGCAGTGTTTCGTTCTGTTGTACACAGGGTCGCTATGAGTCGGAGCCGACTCGACGGTACCTGACAGCAGCAGCAGCAGTGTGTGCAACCCCTGGGTCACAACTTCCTCCTCACTGAGCTTCACCTTGAGGTGGAGCAGGGCTCTGTGCTCATTCTGCCTGCGCAGGGGTGGGAACAGCAACTGACAGACAACCATGAGAATGAAGACGCCGTCAACTGCACTCTGACTGGGGCTTCCTCAGCTCCAAATCCCCTTGGCACCCAGACCTTCCTCCTTCACAAGCCACTTATTTGACTCTTCTCTACTAGGTGTGGGAGCTCTGGTAGCATAGTGCCTAAGACACTTGCCTGCTAACCAGACGGCTGGCGGTTCAAACCCACCAGCCACTCCTCGGAAGGAAGGTTGGGCAATCCTACTTCTGTAGTGATACTGCCTCGGAAACCCAAAGAGGGGTCGCTATGAGTCGGGGCCGACTTGATGGCACATAACAACAACAACTACTAGGTGTGTGCTCAGTGAGAGCCGCTGGTGTCTGCTCTGCTCAACGCTGTGCCCTGGGCACCCAGCACAGAGCTGCCCCTCAGTGGGCCTCATCCACATGTGGATTGAACTCCTGCCTTAGATAGAACATGGCAAACATATAGGAGATACTTAGATAACACATGTATTTGGGCTGTTGCAGTCCTAGGGCAATGTGATTATGCTTTGCGAGGAAATCCACTTCTGAGCAGCAGTCTTGATAGTGGTTGGTTAACTCCACATCCCCTGGGGAAATGGTAAGAAAATACGGCTCTCTAATGTCAGCATTGTGAGTCAGAGAAGTAACCACCAGGATCTGGTCTGGGGTTGGTGAGCAAAAATGGGCATACCCCAGGCACACGCAGTAGAAGTGAAGATGGGGAGCATCCCACAGAGGGCTGACAACCCCAAGACAGGGAAAGCAAATGGGCCCACCAGCTTCCAAAACAGGCAGCAAGCCCAACCAGGCAGATGTCAGAGCAAGAGCTGTAAATACGGACTCCATCGATCAAGCTTTCTAAAATTGCTAGAATATGCTGGGATATGGCTTGAAGCAGTATGACCACATTTTCTGTTAAAAATGGGCTTGGTATCTGGACCCATCTGCCCCTTCAGTTCTTTAGAATCAAATGTCAGAGCCCTTCAGAGTGAGCCGGTGTGACCCAGCGTTGCATCTATCCCCATAACCTCCAGTTCTCTTCATTCCACCAGGCTGAGGTGGGGAAAGGGGGTGGGAACACCCCTGCTGGGCTCCTGTTTTGGTGGTCACTAGCTGCCATCATTTTCTGTGTAGTCTGAGAAACACTGAGGAGAAGAGCAGATTTCTTGGCTTCTCCCAGGATGTGCTGGGCTCCTGGTGAGGAGTCCTCTCTTAGCCAGGGAGCATCCTCAGGTGCTAATGTGCACCTCGACACCAAGCCCAGGTGCATCGAGGCAACTTTGACTCATGGAGACCCCTGTGTGTCAGAGGAGGACTGGGCTTCACAAAGTTTTCAGTGGCTATACCTCTTGGAAGGAGATTACCAGGCCTTTCTTCCAAGGCACCTCTGGGTGGACTCAAACCTGCAACTTCCTGGTTAGTAATGAGCATGTTAACTGTTTGCACTAACCAGGGACTCCACTGTGTATGAACCATGTACAGATTAATGTGTCCCAGAGTCAACCTTCCTCAGGAAGAGACCATGTGGCGTATTAACAAAATGCAGTCTTGGGAGATCACCTTATTACCTTATTTTGTGCAGAGACCATAGTTCCATTAAGTGCTGCCCTTTCTGATTGTAGATCACTGGTATTCAGTTTCTGAACCAGCATTCCTCCTGAGGAGACTGTTACCTGCAATAAAGGTGATATAGACATTTACAAACACAAGGAAACTCCCTCCCATGTTGCTATGTTATTGTCTTGGTTGCCTTTTTACTATATTTAGTGTTTCATCATCATTTTCTTTCATTGTGATTTCTGACAGTTCTTCACAAACTGAAGGACATCTTGAAAGTTTACATGAAGTACATTAAGAATGGTAGCCACAATTTTCTGACATAACTACTGAAGAAATGTTTCTTGCTTATCACAAGGGCTGTGGCTAAACTGGGCTTCTCTCAAGAAATGATATAAAATGAACTCTAATGAATTAACTTCACATCTTTCATGTTTGTTCATCACTTTATAACACAGTTAAAATATTCTTATTGTAATGAAAGGAAGGCTACCCTGATCTTTTACAAAAAAAAAAAAAAAATCAAAGAAATGCCATTTAAACAAATTGAATCGCCCTGTTCTTCCTTCACCCCCGCTGTCTTCTCTGGGAAGCACAGCTACTGTCCTGTATCCTCTCCTGTGCCTGTTGAGCAATGTATCAGCTTTCTACTGCTGCTACAACACATTACCACAATCTTAGTGGCTTAAAATAACTCAGATTTATCCTTTTACAGTTCTGAAGCTTGGAAGTCCAAAATGGGCCTCATGGGGCTGGAATCAAGGTGCCGACAGAGTGGTGTTCCCTCTGGAGGTTCTAGGGAAGGATCTGTTCCTTGCCTTCTCCAGCTTCTAGAGGCCACCTGCCTTCCTTGGTTTGTGGTCCTACCACTCCAACATCTGCTTCCGCTGTCACATCTCCTCTGTGACTCAGACCTCTTGCCTGCCTCTATAAGGACACTTGTGGTGATACTAGGCCCACCTGATCACTCAGGATCACCTCCCTATCACATCTGCAGCATCCCTTGTCCCATGTAAGGCAGTATACTCACAGGCTCTGGTGAGGAGGAGGTGGGCATCTTTGGGGGTGTGAGGAGGACATTACTCCTCCTATCACATGCTGAGAGAAGGCAGCCTATGTACACTGCCTTGTTGCTGATTTCTCCAATTTATGCCATTCAGTCCATTAGGAGAGAACTGGTTCCGTTAGCCTGTCCTTCCCCACTTGAGCAGGATGGTCTCCAGGAAGTGCACACTCACACCAACCTAAGGCCTTGCCCAGCTGCCTCTGCTCTTCAGAATCTCCTGTTTGCTGTTGCTTTGTCACCTCTGAGGATATTGAAGGCAAGGCCCTGGTGAGGGCTCAAGTCTATAACATGACTCTACACAGTTGTGCCTCCCTTGTCATAAGAAACTTAGGGTGTAAGTGCTCGACTGCTAACCAAAAGGTTGGTGGTTCAACCCCCCAGCTGCTTCATGGGGGAAAGATGTGGCAGTCTGCTTCTGTAAAGAAATCTTGTGGGGCACTTCTGTTCTGTAGGGTCACTTTAAGTCAGAATCTAGTGAATGGAAATGGGTTTGGGTTTTTGTTTTTGTGGGGTTTTTCTAAACACACTTGGCTGCTAATGAAAATAGTTGTCCGATCTACCTGGAGGCACCTCAGAAGGCCTGGTGATCTGCTTATGAAAACTCAACCACTGATAACTGTGGAGTACAGCTCTGCTCTGACCACAGGGTTGCCATGAGTCAGAATCAACAGCATCTGGCTTGGCATTTTGTGTGTATATGGGCAGCAGCCCTCGCAACAGCTACAAGAAGAGGGCAACATAGGGGAGGCTAGGGTACTCCCTGAGAGCAGGAAGAGGCAGGAGTTAGAATAGGCTAGCAAGTCTGAGGGCTTCCAGGCAGCTTTCTACTGCTGAATGAGCATTTGGGATCCCAGTCTATGCATTATGAGCGCAAAGAAGCAGGAGGCTGATCACCAGCTCCACTTGCATCCCTCCTGGCCCTGGGGCTGGCTTCTCTCTAGACCCAACTAGACCTGTCCATGCTGGTACAAAACTGCTTTATTTCAGGCTATTTAGCAGGAGACAAATGGCCTCTTGGACAAAATTGGTCTCCAGTGTGGATGTGGACAGAATGGCCCTTAGGACATTTGAGGCAGCAAACATAGGGCCATTGACTTCCCACCAGGAACAAAGTCAATTGCTTACAAAGTATCCCAAATGGTCAACTCACCATTCTGGGGTTATTTTCTTTCTCCAGTGCAGGGATCATGGCAGTGGTGAGAATATACACACCTGCGGATGCACAGGCAGTGGGGAGCTGGGAGGGAGCTGGCCTCCTGTGCTGTAGGGTCATCCCTTCAGGGTGAGGACACCAGATCTGTTCATTTGCAACTACCCATGCCCCCAAGAGGAGTCCCTGGATGGGGCAAGCTCAGTTACTAACCGAAAGGTTGGACATTTGAATCCACCCACAGGCATCTCAGGAGCAAGGCCTGCTGATACACTTCTGGAAACCAGCCAATGAGAACTCCATGGAGCACAGTCCTACAGTGACACACGTGGGGCTTCGTGAGCTGGAGTCGCCCCATGCAGTGGGCTCAGGCTGTTCTGTTTCTCCTCCAGTCTCATCAGGTGTTTGGCTCCTCAGCAATGGAAAGCCAGACACCCTAGAAAGAAGCCATGGAACCTCAAGTACTGAGAGGAAATGAGGTCCGCACTACATGGAGGGAAAATGAGCCTACTCTGGGAAAATACACATCCATTAATTATGCATAGTCTGTACATAAAAAGTTATGAATGTGAAATGTGAAACTTACCAATACTGCTTATATCCCAAGGGTAGAATTAAGGGAATCTTATTTTCTATGCTATACATTTTTCTACTGTTTGTAATTAAAAAATTATTGCAATTTGTTGTAATAATATTCTTACAATTTTCTAATTATTTCTGTAATATATATATATGATGTATATGATTACAGAAATAATGTGTGTGTGTTATAGATATAAAATGCTCTCAACGACTAATCTAAAGGTTGGTGGTTTGAACCCACCCAGTGCTGCTGCAGAAGAAAGGCCTGGTGATCTGCTCCCATAAAGATTACAGCCAAGAAAACCCCATGGAGCAGTCCTACTTTGCTGCACGTGGGGCTGCCCTGAGTCAGAGTATAAGTCAATGAGTTATATATAAAAACACTTTTAATGGACTGAGGAAAATACTGCAGAAGTATATTTGATAATTAAGATATTCACAATATATGGAATGAGAAGTGTGGATAACAATCCCATTTTTGTAAGGAAAGACGTGTCAAAATGAAGAGAAATTGTCTGGAAGGATACATTTTGGTGCACTAAAATGTTAAAATATCTCTGAATAATGGAATTATATAAATAGACCATTTCTATTGTCTTCTTATGCTTATGTGTATTTTTCTAAACAATGAACATATATTGTTTTTTTATAAAAGGTTATGGTTATTATTATTATTCTTTAATCCTTTAACCCAAAATAAAGTAGGAGACAAGTAAAGAGTTCAAAAAGGCAGGGGTGGTGGAGCACAGGGCATTTTGGGGGGCAGTGAAACCATTCTACATGATGCTGTAATGGTGGGTGTGACATTATGCCTTTGTCAAAACCTATAGAACATAATGAAAAGATACACATAGACATGTGTTAATTGTGCCTCGTCCATGCACATGAAAAGGAGCTCTGGTGGCTTAGTATCTAAGGCATGTGATTGCTAACCAGAAGGCTGGTGGTGGTTCAAACCCACCAGCCACTCCGTGGAAGGAAGACTGGGAAATCCGTTTCCATAAAGATTTACCTCCTTAGAAACCCAGTAGGGATCACTGTGAGTTGGAATTGACTCGATGGCAGTGAATTTTTGTTTGTTTGTTTGGGTGCACATAAAAATAGGAATATGGACTATGAAATTGAGCAGTACTGCTCATCTCTCAAGGATGGAACAAAGAGTGAGCTCTAATATAAACTATAGGCTTTAGTTAACAGTAATGTATCAGTATTGGTTCATGAGTAATAACAAATGTGCTACATCAATGCAGGATGCTAATAACAGGGGAAGTAGTGTATGTGGGGGAGAGGGCCTATGGGAACTCTGTACTTTCTATGCAATTTTCCTGTACATTAAAATGGTTCTAAAAATTAAATCTTTTTTTTTTTTTTTTTTTTTTTAAGTTTTAGGTAAGATGGGTCCCTGGGCTTTTTCCTGCCTAGGCCTAGAGGTTTCTGCTTGAATAGCTCTCTCCATCTCTGCCCGGACGTCCCCATCGGTTGGGCTAGTGGCAGAGCTAGCAGGAGCAGGCTGGCACCGTGCACAGGCCCTGGACTTGAATCCTGGCCCTGGCACCTACTTGCTGTGTGACTGAGGGCAAATCAATGTAGCTTTTTCAGCCCAGGCTGCCTTATTGGTGAACTGGAGATAGTGGCTGTCCAGCCCACCTCCTAGGTGGCAGGTGAAGTACAAATGTGCTGAGTGACCCAGTGAGCTGACAGCCCTTGTACACATTGGGGGTGGTCACTGCACTGCCATATAGCTTGTAATGTTGAGGGTGACGTTCACCCAAAACAGCATGCTTAGCTGTTCAGGGTCCAGTTCCATTTTGGAGTGAGCCACCTTGTTAATATTTGTGGATTTTAAAGTCTCATGCACACTTGTTCTCAAACAGCTGTCGACCTCCATCTCACAGCCTTGACCACTTCCTTTGTATTCAGCGTGGGTGCCTTTCTCTGTGATTTAATTTGCAGAGAAGTAGAAAAGACTTCTGCCAAAGGCTATCTGCCCCATCAGCCTGCCCTGATGGATTGTCATAAATGACTCCTTTGAGCAAAGGAAATGGAAGTCTGGAATCAGATTACCCATAGCTCCCACCTCCACAGCTCAAGCCCCGAAAGGGGGGAGGGTATGGGCTCTCTCCGCCTGCCCCAGAGGCATCACCAGTGCAGGACGGGCCAGAGCTGGGGGATCCCCTCTGCCCCTCTCCTCCCTGCCCAGGAGATGCTCTTGTGTTTTGTTCTGTTTCATTTTCTGTGAGAATACTCCTATGTCCATTTAGACAAGTTAGACATTACTACAGAAATACTCCCTCCTTTAGGGCACAGCCAGGTGTTTTAAAGCACCCCTTAGGAATAGTGGCAGGGAAGGGTGGCATTGGTGGTCCTGTGCTGGAATTCTCACCTTCCATCCAGGACACCCTGGTTAAGTCCTTGGCCACTGCTCCTCACACAGCTACCCACCCTGTGCCAGGGGAAGCTTACGTGTTGCTCTGATGCTGAGCAGGTCTCAGTGAAACTTCCAGACTATGACGGACGAGGAAAAAAGGCCTGGTGATCTACTCCCAAAGGTCAGCCAAGTATATGACTATTCACACCCAACAAGCGTTTCCTATCCCTGAGAAGGAGATGAAACATCTATCTTCCTGGCAATTTATAATGCTCCAGGCTCCAAGCCTGCCTTCCAAGGCCCTTCCTGGGCATCCTCAGAGCCAGCAAAGAGAAACAGAACAATCTGTTAAAGTCATAATCATATAGAAATATTTAAGTCTATGTGCATGTGTGTGTGTGAAAAGATTTGAACTTAGGGAGTCCCAAAGAGGCTCTGAGTTATGCAAGGTCCTGCACCAAGCCCACACAGAGTGGAAATTAGATGGCAGACCTCCCCCTCCTTGACTCATGAAACCATGCTGAATCCCAGACAACACCAGTGTAAACAAGAAGGAATTAAACCATTATTTGCAAGTTATTGTTCCTTACGATGAAGATGGTACCAGGAGCTCCTTGCCTTAGTTCATAAAGCGCCAAACCATGGGACTTATTGGCCCTGTGAGCCAGTGTCACTCTCCTGCCCCAAAACCCTTCAACATGCCGTGCTCCCCACAAACTAACTGAAGACCCCTCAGCCTGGCACAGCAGACTTCTGGAGAATCTGCCCCATCTGCTCTGTTATGGATTGAATTGTGTGCCCCCAAAATATGCAGTCCTACCTCTAAAGTGGGTCCTAATCCCACCTGAGTGGTGTTTTTATAAAAGAGATCCGGAGAGACATATAGACGGAAAATAGCCACATGAACATGGAGTTCCACTGTAGCTTCAAGAACACCTGGAGCTACTGAAGCTGGGAGAGACAACAAAGGATCTTCCCACTGGAGACTTCAGAGAAAATATGGCCCTGCCAACACCCTTCTTCAGACGTCTAGCCTCTAGAACTATAAGCCAACAAATGTCTGTTCTGATAAGCCACCTAGTTTCTGGTAGCATAGTGGCTAAGGCACTTGACTGCTAACCAGAAGGCTGGTGGTTCAA